CATCAGCGCATCAAACAATGAGGAATATAGAAGTGAAAAGTGAGGTATTAGGATCGTTGCTTAATTTTTAGAATTTAAAATGAACATTAAGTTAATGTACCTTGTTTGAAGACAAATTTATGTCATTTTAATTACTAGAAACAATTTAAATCTAAGAAACAGATCTACTCATTACACAGAGAAATACGTTTTTTTATAATAACAAATGAAAACTGGCATTTTAGCTGTTAGGTTATGGTGAAATATGTATAATTTTTCTGCTATATAATAAATTTTTATGTAAAGGGTAGAAGTAGTTCTAGGTGACTAATTTTTAGTTAGAATTTTTGATAAAAGTAACTGAAGAAGAGATCATAAATGGATGATCTTTTTCTGTGATTGCTACCAACGGAAAACAAATCTTGAACTGTCTAGTTGATGTCACGGACACTGCTCAATGGAATTTTGAACTTGTACAGATGGTTACATTTGACCACCAAGGATCCAAGCAGATACCAAACCAAACAAAGCAGTGAGTAAAAACCATCATTTCAAAGACTTCCTCTACCATCACTAAAGATTTTAACTATTATTACATTAAGATCTCCATCATGCTATAAGAATGAATATCACTGTAGTTAGGCTGTTTATAAACAAGAGGTTAATGAAGGAGTAAATATCTATTTGAACTTAAGAGGGGAAATAATTCTTGCAGGAAGAACAATTGTTTGGGAAGGTATCCTAGAAGTTGAATTATTATGTTTTGATGTTATCAATAATATGATCAGTTTCCCCATGAGTGCCACCTACTATTAATTTTCTTATGTAGATGTGTAGGAACTTGAAGACAAATTTAATTATGCATTTGTATTTATAATTGTTTATTTATTTCAGTTTTGTTCTATTTATTTTTGAGTAATGATTGTAATACTTTTGTGTTTCAGAAAAGTATTTCATTAATTTGGGCAGCTGAGGTCAGATGTCTTTCCTAAGTTGTTGAACACTTTTTTTTGGTTCTGAGGTCAGGAGTCTTTCCTACCTTGTTGGACACTTTTCTTTGGTTCCAAGGTCAGGAGTCTTTCCTACCTTGGTGAACACTTTTCTTTGGTTCTGAGGTCAGGAGTCTTTCCTACCTTGTTGGACACTTTTCTTTGGTTCTGAGGTCAGAATCTTTCCTACCTTGTTGGACACTTTTCTTTGGTTCTGAGGTCAGGAGTCTTTCCTACCTTGTTGAACACTTTTTTTTGGTTCTGAGGTCAGGTGTCTTTCCTATCTTGTTGAACACTTTTCTTTGGTTCAGTGTGGATATGATCTACTAATATATATTTTACCACTAAGGTCTTTATAACAAATTATTGTTGTTAACTCAATCCTTGTGTGCACCTTCTATGTTTTAGGTATTTTTCAAGTTCTGTTATTTCTGTATGAAGTTTATGAAAAGCTAAAGATTTTTTTTCTTCTAATTTTTACCAAGACAAACAAAGCAGTGAGTAAAATCCATCATTTTCAAAGACCTTCTTCACCATCACAAAACATTTTAATATCATTACATTAAGATTTCTATCATACTATTAAAATAAACATCACTGTAGTTAGGTTGTTTATGATCTATATCCATCACATAATTTGTGATTCTACACTAAAAGAAAAAAAGAAGTAATGCAGACTCTACACTAGTTATAGAAGTTTAGCCTAAGTTTTTATTAGACAACAAAGGAAGTACAAATATACGAGTGAACAAATAAAACAGATCCTTATTCACAAATGGTGTTTATTTCAAGTCTCCAATATATTGTCCAGCTTCAGTTTTGTAGTATGATTGAAACTGGCTGTTAGGATGAAGAGGAATCTGCTAAAATGACCAAAAACAAGTAAGAATAATGTAATACAGCACTTTCAAGTCAGAACAGGGCCCTAGTGTAATATCCCATAATATTTATATTATCTGTGTCAATGACTATTCCAAAAACAAATGGAGAGAACCTCCCAATTAACTCTAACCTGCAAAAGTATCTCTGTTACCTCGTGATATGTGCTTACACCAACCAAGGAAACTGGTACAAGCTTCCATAGGATAGCTATTATAGTATGTAAAATTTATCTAAGCAAGAGGTTTAGTGCGTATTTATGACATTCATACAGTCAGTTTACTGGAAAGATTCTAACTATATACAGAACACCAGCATGAGGATTTAGAAATATTACAGTATTATATATGAATAAAGATGTATTCTACACTAGTTGTTTTCTTAATGCAAAGCTACACAATGGGCTATCTGCATCTGTCCACTGTGGGGAATCAAACCCAGGGTCTTAACATTGTAAGCCTGTATATTTACTTCTGACTCCCTAAGGGACCCTATATTAGTTTTTAAAGAGTAGATTATTATATTAATATAACCATACTTGAATATGTGTAGAGATAAGGAAAATTGTAGAAGTGTTCATTAAGGTAGTTTATTTTTGTTCCTGTCAGAATTTAAGTAAATAATTAATTTCTTTTTCTCAAAAATAAAGACTGTTTCATTATTAGTATGTGAATTTATATTAGGGGAAAATAGCATTTGTAGTAAACTTTGAGCAAGTCCACAGTTTTCCCATTTTGAAAATAAAGTTTCTGTTTTACTATTATCTTATAAATATAATTTGTTTGTTGCTAGAACAAAGAAAACTATGACATCATAACAGATATATGTTTTAATTAGATAAATTTATAGTTTCCCTTCCAATTAAAAAAAAAGTCTCAGTTTGTTATATTTGCATCAACAATGTTTGTGTTGGTACCATAACATAAATGTTACGTTCTGTAATGTATTAAGTGGAAACAATTCGTTATTAAATATATTAAGACATTTATTATAATGTATCTTCAGTATTAACCCTTTGAGTGCATAATTAAATTTTGGGTGGGTTCTTGAAAAGTATAAATTTTCCAGTAAAGAATGAAATATAGAATTTAACCTTTTTTTAGTACTTTTTCAATATCAAAAATCCACTAGTTGCACTTTTGATCATTGATGTACACACGCATGGTACAAGGGTTGGAAATTCAAGGACGTGTGAGTATCTAGATTGTCACACTATGAGAAAAAGTTTGTGTGACACCGTGGGGTAAATCTGCTTGTTGCACCAAACAGCTATAAATATCAAGTCGGATAAAACGGATTATAGCATTTGAAGGGTTAAGGTACAACGTGTACTTTGGAGGGAAGGTATTAAATTGCTAATGAAATTGTTATATTATTATACAAGTGATGTTATATATTATCAAGATGGCTCAAGAAATTTTATCCTTAAAGTTTGTTATAGATAATGCACAACATCATAATAACATTTCTGGATTTCAAGTAAATTGTGAAAAATCTGTGGTAAAGAAATATTAGTTTGATAATAAAAAAGAAGTAAAAAGTTTAGTAAACATGCCAGTTAGATTGTTCAAGATAAAATTTCTAATATCTTATTGTAAATAATGCCAATGTAAATGAAGTAGTAAAAGTAAGTTACTGTTTTAAAATGAAGCAAGGAAAGATTAATGTAGAGCAAGTCAAATAAAGGTAGTCTGTCACACAGTGGATGACATATAGCTATTAAAAGTTTTATTGTTAAAACTGATATACCTTTTAAAATCTTTGCAAACCTCTAGAAGCATGTTTTGTATAAAAATATGTGAAAAGCCATGTTGTCAATTTTTTTTTTAAATGGAGTTTTATGAGTCATTTCTCTAGAAAGTTTTATTTGTGTTTTAAAGTTTCATGACTTTATTTTTTTTCATATAAAATTATGAGATGTGACAAAATACATCCAAATATACTAATTATGATTCTAAATTAGGTGATGAATTTTGATAACATAATTAAATAAACAAAATGCTTGTTGTGATTAATACTTTTATTTGTTTAAAATTCTATGAGTTTGTGAGTTTACTGCTTTCAGGAAATGCTATGTTTTTAAAAAGAGGATAATATATAACTTTTAGTAAGAAACTGAGATAACTCTTTAGTAGATATGTTCAGGAATAACTATTACATAAGAACAGTTTTTGGAGGATGTAATTATGAAATTACTATTTCATGGTCATATTATAACAATTGTCTGCTCAACATTACTCTTACATATACTTAATAAATAAGAATGTAAGAAGTAAGTCAAATGGACCGTAAAGTGTAAGCTAATGATAAATATTGGTTGGAGCACAAAGATATATGTATATATATACATAAATAAAAGTGTTCATTTAATTTCATCTTAATATATTATTGGAAATGTTGTGTTGGTAAAGCATCTTTTAGTATCATGCAATATAATTCATTAAGATTTGAATAAATCTATAATTTCTCTAAATCAAATATTTAATTTTAATATTATTGTATCACTGTAAAACTTGTGATGAACTGTCAAGAGTCCTTCTGAAACATTGAACATTGTAGAATTGAACAGAACCTTCAATTTTTCCTTCTGAAAGATGAAGTTTCAGATGTTTTGTTATTATTTTGAGATTGGTATTGTGTTGGAATATCATGGGAAACATGAGGAATCATTTCAAAAGTTCTTAAATATACTAAAGTCTAATCAAGATGTTTTAGTATTTTTATTGTGTTAGAAATGTATGTAAATAAAGTTTGAAGTCACTGATTTTAAAAAATTTGAGTTCTTTATCTATTAAGAAAACATCTTTAGATATAAGAAAAACAACAGTACATTGTCAGTAGACAAAGCATATAGTTTATAGTACTAGTTCTCAGTTGAAAAGATATGTGGGAAGAAATTTATAACTGTACATTTTCAGTGATATAAATAGTCACTAACCAGGGAAATCTCTATACTCTCTGTCTCAGGGTGACTGCCTATGACACTATTTATATCTATGTGTAAAGTCCTTTATTTTTTTTCTTTAAACTTGTAAATATAGCTATCCAATTGGTGAGCTTCCTGGTTAGATCATGCCAAGTTTCATCCCATCCTAACTAGTTGTGTGGTTTCAAAGCATTACAAGGTGGTGACTTCATTTTGTGATGTTGGATTATACATATTAGCTTAGGTTTATTGGTTATGGTAACATCTTTACCTGGTCTATATAATTCCATGTATTTTTATTGTCCTTTCTTTGATTCCTGAGTAGAAAAAAAAAGGTATGGCTGGAATTTGTTTGTATATGCTTAGATGAAGTATTGTAGGTTCAGTTGTGACAAAATGTAAGGAATTTCTACAAATGAAGCTTGTAACTTTGTTGTTGTTTTATTAATATTTATAGCCAGATTATAAAAATAATGGCTGCACTTATTTAACATCAGTTTGTTGTAAGCAAGCATTTTAAATGCTACTATCTTACTTATTTACAGAAGCGTATTATGCTAATACAATAGTATAAGTTGTTTGTCAATATACTATTGCTACTCTGTGTGAGAGCAGAATGCTATTAAGTCCAAACTAATATCCATTAACAAGGTAGAAAAAAAAAGATTTATTGTTATGAGATTAAAAAGTTTTCATTTTAGATTAGCAAAACAAAAGTATTGAAATTATCAATTATTTTACAAAAGCAGCAAATGTAATCCTTCTACCAAGGGCTATGACTTGAAAAAAACACAAAAAACATCCAAAATTATATGTTATATTTTTAAAAGTGGGAATTGTCCAGATTCAGTGTGTAATTCAGTATTATATATATATATATATGTATTTTATGGTGGTGGAACATAAGTAATCAGTAATTAAAAAGAAGAAAGAAGTGAAACACTTTGATGTATAGCATTGAAACCCATTAGTGGGTAGATCAGAAATAATATTACTAATGGATTAATTCTCTGTGCTCATTACACATTACAAACTCTCACATGGGTTCCATGTGCTCATTTCAGCTTTTGATAGCACTTGACTACATATCTAGGCCTGGTTCTTTGGTGTATCTCACAATCTTTTACAGTGTTATTTTCAAAATTTAAACATTTTTATGATCAGTATATGTCAAGCCTTGCATGAAAAGCTTGCTTATAGTTGAAATTTATATGTTATTTGAGTTTTAACTTCATAATTGTGAAAAGAAATATTAGAAAATTCTCAGTTTCCATTTTTCTGTGTCATGTGATGCATCTCAGCTCCCATTTCTCCCTTTCAGAACTTAAACATAAAAAGAAGGCTTCTACAGTTTCCAACCAATTAGAAACACAAATTGTATATAATTACTAGGTAGAATTTAACAACTGAACCAACTATCATCTTGTTTCTTGAGATATCAATACACTTGTCAGACCCTTTAGAGAAGCCCCTCTTCTCTTTCTCTGACTTTGAGGTTGTTTTGTTACTCAAATTTACATGTTAATATCCAATTGGAAGAGAAGATTCTCATCTACATAATGCTTATTACAGCTGTTTGATTTTGGCACCCATAGAATAAACGTATGTTATAGTTTCTTTGTGTGGAAACGTTGTATTCCTTCTGAGAATGTCCCAAAACTACTATAATTTATCCAGCTTTCTTAGAATAGGTTAAAAAATCCCATTAGACAGAGAAAACCAGCATTATTTAACTATATACTTCAAATACACATAGAAATGTCATCTAAAATATAGCATGCATATAGATTTTCATATGGAGATTTATGTAAAAGCAAGATTTATTGTAGATTTTTTACCAAACAGCTATTATACTGAAATCCAAAGTATCAGTTTTGTGCAAGTATACACTTTTAATCTACATAGAAATGTCATCTTAATACCAAAAACCTCATTGACCTGGTCAGGGAGTTTGATTATAGTATTTAATTTATTGTGTGAAGTTTTCTAGTTTCAATATGGTTATTAGTTAACATATAAGATACTTTTCTGTAGAAAAGGCTTTTGGATCCAGCTGACGGACTTCATCACATGGCAATAAAATCTCAGAAAGCATCAATTATACATTCAAAAGTCTTTTATTGAAGCATACCATAAATGAAATTCTTGACACAAAAATTATGTCAATTATATATCATACTGTATAAAACAGTACTTTGTACTCATAAAACAATGCCTAATTTTACCTCTCATCTTATACACAAGTTCAAAGATAAAGTTTCAGTAAGAACTCTCTGGTTAATAGCATATTTAACCAAAAACTACATTGTTCCTTTTACTTTTGTTTGCTTTTTTGAGTAAGTGTGTTGACATCGTACCACCTA